GAAGGCCTTTGGTCTACAGTCAGTCTCACCTTCCTGTGTCTAGATATTCGGAAATTTGAAAGGAAGGCTCAGTTATGGAGATACCTGCAACTGCGTCCTTGATTGTATACCTCCGCCAAAGTGTCGCAGTTTCCTCGAAATCATCTGCCCAGATACTCCTGTTTAATCTTTTCGATCCGTGTTTCACTCTCTCTTCCATCACACATCACTGCCATTCTTTCAAGCCCCAGGCAACCTGAAGCTACATCGTCAGTTGGTTGCCGTGAGTCAAAAACTCATCCACACCTTCGCCTCAGTGCTCCCAGCAAGCAGTTCTTTTACGCTTCCCTGAATGCCCACCTCTCTCACCTTTGTCAACTAGAACCACGGACCCTGCTGTCAGCTGGTTAGTTCTCGTTGGCGACTTTGAGCTCACCAACTGTGAGGAGCCGGGACGATGCACACACTCCAACTACTGACGGCACTGTCCCTGATTGTTTCATCGTCTGTTTCCTTCGGAGCTGTATTGGGGAATCTGGCAGGTCCTGGACGGCTTCAATGCCAGTCGTTATCGTCTTCGACCCCTAAATACCTCTATTTCACCGACCCTGCTGAGCCGGGCCTTGTCTTCTCCGTTGGCACAGAATGGGTTCTCAATTACTACTACGATGTCATCAGCGCCTTGAGGCAAGACGGCTTTATATTCCAAGCTTCTCCTGGAAGGTTTGACAAGTCAAAAATCTGCGGATGGTTCGTCCTCCATGATGTCACAGCGGACCTTGTACACCGGGGAAAGATTACGTATAGGGACATGTCTACGAATGACACGACCATGTACAAGCTTCCAAGTGCAGGCGCCGTTAGGCGGATCAATACGATACTGCTCAGTGTCTATCCTTCGTTAGAAATTCTGTACATCTGCACATTCTCGTTCATGTTAGGATTTATGCTCCTCGGACTCTCTTGGTGGTACATCCTAACGAAGCGAGACCAAGAACGCATGGCTGCCGAAAACAAGGCCGCTGGGATCGAGGGTGTGGAGTTGGATACCTTTGTTGGAGAAAAGGATAATGGCACAGCTTCAACTGGTGCATGTCTTGTTCCCAGACCCGACTCCTCATCAATTTATTCGCAATCAGGTTACCCTCTGCTCCCAAGATACGAAGCTGGGAGTCGAGGTATATCGTCACCCATACCCACACCTTACAGCAACCCCTACGAGTCCAAGCCACGGATTCCACGTTGCCAGCCGAGAAATCCCTTTGTTGAGTGAATCAGAAGTGATAGTATGGGATGGTAGTTTTGTTTCAAGTACCGGAGGGCCAGTCATTGCTTTGAACCAGAAGGAGTGGGAACTGGTGTCGTGATGAGTATCTCCGGATGATGGAAATACGGGTGGCGCCTGGGGTTAAGTCCTTTCTTTTTTTGCACCATCCACGCTGGACGTACTTAAATTGTATTCCCTATAACACCTTCAAATTGAAAATCACGCTTCTATTGGAGTTCGAAAATACAGATGGCATTTGTTCCCTTCTCTCGTCAGGGAATTGCAAATTGCTTACTTGTTGAATGACTGCAAACCGCTATTTCGAAATTCAACTCATCCACCTACATCGGCGTTGTTCCAGAGGACGTCTAACCTTTCTGGGGGGAGGAGGGGTGGAAGCTAAAGGATTAGGGTGAGCACTTAATTACTCTCAGGTTGGCTAGAGTCGATGTAGAGAGATTTGAGAGTTGCTGTCGTGGTGATGCCAGGATTTGAAGAGACGACCTGATTGATAGCGTTTTGATGTACTTATGAACGGCCGGCTATGCAAATTGTTGCTCCTATTAGGTAGGGTATTTTTACGAGCGCAAAGTAAATGCCTTGGTGGGCGCCGGTTATGATGAATACTTTGCTAATCTGGCTACTGGAGGCACATCTTTTTTGGTAAGAGTAGGTGCTGGAGAAAATGTTTGTTGCCACATTTCTGTGTATAGTTCTAAAGGCATGATAACTGAAACTTACCTATACTAACTGCGGGCTGATCGGTTGTCTTTGCTATACACTAAAGCCGCAAGGATGGTATAACACCCGGTAGGGCAGATGTACTTGTATCTAGGGTTGTATTACAGCATAGTAGATATTTTGCCTTGGCTTGTTGATTCCGCATTTATCAAACCCACGGTACGGTCTCCTTCAGCCTGCCGGGTCGGACACCAACATAAAGTATCAAAGTAAACTCGACGTCAATAACACTTATCCGCGGAGTTATGCTCTATGGACGTAAATGTCTAAGTTCCTTTAACCCTGCACACAATGTTTCAAAGCTATTGGCCTGGGATGAGAACATACAGTAAGAGTGGAAAGATGTGTATTATGTGTCTTTTCGTAGAGGTGAGGTTTGTACGTGGTGTGGCCTCCCAACTCACAAAAGCTTACATTCAAATTATTTATGTGGTTATTTATATTCTCTGGTAAAAGGGCATTATATTTTTGGAGTGGGCAATCTTCGTGCCAAAGGGTAGGAAGAGTTACTAGTATCGAACGCTTCTCTGTAAAGCAGTAAAGCTACCCAGCATTTATTTAGACAAGATGAGGTCAAAAAGCCTGAATATACCATAAGAGAACAAGATGAACTTAGTAAAGCTAGGGAAACCCCCGTCGTGATCCCATGATGACGCTTTCACATCTGCCTAGATGGGCAGCCGAAAGAGGTATGTAGTATTTGACTCAGCCAACTGGGCCTGACATTCCTAACCGTCTGTTAACATAGGCTAGAAGCCTTACAGAACCATTGATCTTTATATGTAATGCCCTTAAGGCTTTTCAGCGATGGTGCAACTCGAGCACGTGATGCGATATCCTTTAGGGCCTTGCTTCGCTTTCTCTTCCGGATTGTGACACTCAAAATATGCGCCATAAATACCATATATTTAAGAACCGGTTCTCAGTCGTACTTCATGATAAGCAATATGTTAGTCTGCCTCAACCTCGTCGGCCGTTATTTCTCACGTCAGCGATGCGTTGTGCATCTTCAACTAAATATGCTTAGCTTGCGGCAGACAAGACCCCCAATATCACCTGCATCATACATCCCTTTATATAACCCCCTCGTAATCAGGGCCATATATTATTATTTCAACCACTGACTTAGCGCTCACCCCAACGTCCCCCATCTCACCATATTTCTAGGGCCTTCATAAGCGCCCTCATGATGATCGAAGCTCTGTTGGCCGTCTTCCCTCAACACAGCGAAGACGATATTAGTTCTTGGTGGAATAAACCCCTCCAAAATGACCACCCCCAACGATTATAAAGGAACTCGCGACGATTATCGCCGAAAACACATTCAAAGTCGATGCTTACTTCACATCGCATAATTTACCGACGCCTTCGGTAGACGCTGATGCTCCCAATTCCCGAGGATGCAAAAGAAGTCAGGCCAGCACACGCTGCGGTCATGGAGGCGTGTAGAGAACTGAAAGATCTCATGATAGACCCGAGGGAGTTCCTACAATTTAGTGTACGTCCATCAGCCTCCGCATTTATACTCTCGTTTCACTGAAATGCGTAGTGGACAGCGTTTGTCAGCATAAAAGTGATTCTTCGCTTTGACCTACACAAGGAATTTCTTGTTGGAGAAACTCCAATGTATAAAGAGCTGGCAACGTTATCCGGCCTCACTCCACGAAATGTTCCGCGATTGGTTAGACATGCCATCGTAAACCATAACTTTTTCCAAGAACTGTCACCCGGAGTGGTCACCCATTCGGCGCTCACGGCACTTTTGGTGAAAGATGAATCTTTGAGAGCATAGCTAGGAGTTGCGCTAGATGAGTTTTGGCCGGCAGGCGTGAAGGTAAATCGGATTCATGGAATTTATTGTACCAACGCTGATTGTTTGTTATGTTACTGCGCGAATGATGGGTATCTCTCACGCACGGCTTACTCATTTCAACAGGATCTTTCCAGGTAGTAAATCGGCGCAAATGGGCGTAAACCAGTGTATAAAGTGCACCTTCCTTAGAAGATCGATGAAAGGGGGCCCTGTCCTGAGAAATTAAGGCAAGCAATCACCAAGTTATTGGAACATAAATTCGCCTTGGGCTTGATCCATAAGCAATACTCGGACCCGAGTACTCCAGTGACGCCAATCCGCCTAGGTCAATCAATGATAAGCAACTCATTGTAACTGATGTGCTGCACTTTTTCCGTACCTCCAGCAACAGCTCTGGTGAGATATTCTTCTCACGACATATATCGGCCCCCGACGACTATACCGCGTTCTTTTTTCTTTAAGCTATGCCGAGAGCGAGTAACAGTATCTAAGAGCCAGGACATGCTTACATTTCAATTTTTAAATGACCTTCCTGGATGGAGGTAATATCCGTCTGAAGTTTAAGGGCTCATGAGTTACTACACCACTTGGTGGGGCTTATGCAAACAGCAGATACCTTAATATACGCTAGATATGGTGCTCTAAGCCATCTTCCCAATTAAAGCACTTCTTTCTACGCTCAATATCTCAGTTTGTGGTTTGCTTTGTTCGAAAGACGTCTGATAACTGCAAAAGATAAGACGGGATAATGGCTTGACTTTGGACAGGTGTAGTCGCCAATTTCTTCGAATAGATTTCGTCTCTATGCGGAAGAGCATGAATATGACGATTTCGTATAATCTGATTTATTAGCATTCTATTCATAGTGACTAGGGCGTATTTTGACAATTGAGATGTAGGTAGACGTGTTCTTGGGGTCGAAGTAGAGACCGCTTAATTTGGCCTAACCGAAACAGAAAATTTATATGCCGCGAGAAATCGGCCCAACACAACCGACCGATTCCCCGCATAATGAAAATTTTCATTCACCATATCCAGCATGCAGCAGACGCCCATGGCATCTTTTGGAAAGTGTGTTTTGGCACGCATTTCTCATCTTCGCTCCATTCCGTACCATTGTGGACATTTGTTGTTGTTAGTTATATAAAAAGAAATTTGGCTAGGTTTTCTATCGAAAGCAATAACATTGCATCGGTATATGGGCTTGTGGTTTAGTGGTATAATTTTCCCTTAGCATCTCGTTTCAGCTATCTGTTACAGCGTGGGAAAGGTCCTGGGTTCGATTCCCAGCAAGTCCATCTTTTTTGGTGTTGCTCTGCCACTCGTGATAGTCCAACGAATGGCTCTTTTTGGTTCGTGAGAAATGTGCGTGGTGAGGATTCCAAAATTTAGAAGTGTTTAGGAGAGCTTTTTGCATGGTGTTATATAGAAGAGTAGATAACTCTCTATTTATGATGAACTCTGAAATCATACAAACATTTCTAGGCGTTCTAACACCCCAGCTTGCAGGCGAGCTATGTTATTTTAACGATATAAGAAGGTAGTTTGTCCCTTGAAATTGTTTATAGGGCAATTACAGATTATTCTAGAAGCCGTAGTGAGGCTTAACTGTGTAAGTCGTGTTACGAACAACTTATTTACTTCTAGTTATTTTCGCAATCCTAGTGGCGTTTCCCTTAATCCAGAGACATCCATGCGCGGCAGGATAAAATACTACTCTCTACCTAGCCCTTAGAAACTTCTAAACTGGATCCATACCAAGCATCCTACCACTT